AATTGAATTAGAGAGCTCTGTAATTGAATTAGAGAGCTCTGTAATTGAATTAGAGAGCTCTGTAATTGAATTAGAGAGCTCTGTAATTGAATTAGAGAGCTCTGTAATTGAATTAGAGAGCTCTGTAATTGAATTAGAGAGCTCTGTAATTGAATTAGAGAGCTCTGTAATTGAATTAGAGAGCTCTGTAATTGAATTAGAGAGCTCTGTAATTGAATTAGAGAGCTCTGTAATTGAATTAGAGAGCTCTGTAATTGAATTAGAGAGCTCTGTAATTGAATTAGAGAGCTCTGTAATTGAATTAGAGAGCTCTGTAATTGAATTAGAGAGCTCTGTAATTGAATTAGAGAGCTCTGTAATTGAATTAGAGAGCTCTGTAATTGAATTAGAGAGCTCTGTAATTGAATTAGAGAGCTCTGTAATTGAATTAGAGAGCTCTGTAATTGAATTAGAGAGCTCTGTAATTGAATTAGAGAGCTCTGTAATTGAATTAGAGAGCTCTGTAATTGAATTAGAGAGCTCTGTAATTGAATTAGAGAGCTCTGTAATTGAATTAGAGAGCTCTGTAATTGAATTAGAGAGCTCTGTAATTGAATTAGAGAGCTCTGTAATTGAATTAGAGAGCTCTGTAATTGAATTAGAGAGCTCTGTAATTGAATTAGAGAGCTCTGTAATTGAATTAGAGAGCTCTGTAATTGAATTAGAGAGCTCTGTAATTGAATTAGAGAGCTCTGTAATTGAATTAGAGAGCTCTGTAATTGAATTAGAGAGCTCTGTAATTGAATTAGAGAGCTCTGTAATTGAATTAGAGAGCTCTGTAATTGAATTAGAGAGCTCTGTAATTGAATTAGAGAGCTCTGTAATTGAATTAGAGAGCTCTGTAATTGAATTAGAGAGCTCTGTAATTGAATTAGAGAGCTCTGTAATTGAATTAGAGAGCTCTGTAATTGAATTAGAGAGCTCTGTAATTGAATTAGAGAGCTCTGTAATTGAATTAGAGAGCTCTGTAATTGAATTAGAGAGCTCTGTAATTGAATTAGAGAGCTCTGTAATTGAATTAGAGAGCTCTGTAATTGAATTAGAGAGCTCTGTAATTGAATTAGAGAGCTCTGTAATTGAATTAGAGAGCTCTGTAATTGAATTAGAGAGCTCTGTAATTGAATTAGAGAGCTCTGTAATTGAATTAGAGAGCTCTGTAATTGAATTAGAGAGCTCTGTAATTGAATTAGAGAGCTCTGTAATTGAATTAGAGAGCTCTGTAATTGAATTAGAGAGCTCTGTAATTGAATTAGAGAGCTCTGTAATTGAATTAGAGAGCTCTGTAATTGAATTAGAGAGCTCTGTAATTGAATTAGAGAGCTCTGTAATTGAATTAGAGAGCTCTGTAATTGAATTAGAGAGCTCTGTAATTGAATTAGAGAGCTCTGTAATTGAATTAGAGAGCTCTGTAATTGAATTAGAGAGCTCTGTAATTGAATTAGAGAGCTCTGTAATTGAATTAGAGAGCTCTGTAATTGAATTAGAGAGCTCTGTAATTGAATTAGAGAGCTCTGTAATTGAATTAGAGAGCTCTGTAATTGAATTAGAGAGCTCTGTAATTGAATTAGAGAGCTCTGTAATTGAATTAGAGAGCTCTGTAATTGAATTAGAGAGCTCTGTAATTGAATTAGAGAGCTCTGTAATTGAATTAGAGAGCTCTGTAATTGAATTAGAGAGCTCTGTAATTGAATTAGAGAGCTCTGTAATTGAATTAGAGAGCTCTGTAATTGAATTAGAGAGCTCTGTAATTGAATTAGAGAGCTCTGTAATTGAATTAGAGAGCTCTGTAATTGAATTAGAGAGCTCTGTAATTGAATTAGAGAGCTCTGTAATTGAATTAGAGAGCTCTGTAATTGAATTAGAGAGCTCTGTAATTGAATTAGAGAGCTCTGTAATTGAATTAGAGAGCTCTGTAATTGAATTAGAGAGCTCTGTAATTGAATTAGAGAGCTCTGTAATTGAATTAGAGAGCTCTGTAATTGAATTAGAGAGCTCTGTAATTGAATTAGAGAGCTCTGTAATTGAATTAGAGAGCTCTGTAATTGAATTAGAGAGCTCTGTAATTGAATTAGAGAGCTCTGTAATTGAATTAGAGAGCTCTGTAATTGAATTAGAGAGCTCTGTAATTGAATTAGAGAGCTCTGTAATTGAATTAGAGAGCTCTGTAATTGAATTAGAGAGCTCTGTAATTGAATTAGAGAGCTCTGTAATTGAATTAGAGAGCTCTGTAATTGAATTAGAGAGCTCTGTAATTGAATTAGAGAGCTCTGTAATTGAATTAGAGAGCTCTGTAATTGAATTAGAGAGCTCTGTAATTGAATTAGAGAGCTCTGTAATTGAATTAGAGAGCTCTGTAATTGAATTAGAGAGCTCTGTAATTGAATTAGAGAGCTCTGTAATTGAATTAGAGAGCTCTGTAATTGAATTAGAGAGCTCTGTAATTGAATTAGAGAGCTCTCTAAATCTATTTTAACTAGTTATAAATACAATAAGAGAGCTCTCTAATTGGAATTGTTACTAGTAAAAATGCAATTACGACGAGTAACGCTGGGGATATTTTAAGCTAAAACGGCTTGCCATATTAATGTGATTTTTTACTAGCAAAAATTGAATTATAGAGCTCTGTAATTGTATTTTTACTAGTAATAATTAAATTAGAGAGCTCTCTAATCGGAAATGTTACTAGTAAAAATTGATTTAGAGAGCTCTCTAATTGGAATTGTTACTAGTAAGAATTCAATTGTAGAGCTCTCTAATTGAATTGTTACTAGTAAAAATGCAATTACAACGATTAACACTGCGGATATTTTAAGCTAAAACGGCTTGCCATAGACGTTCTACTCAGATCTGTTCACGTCCTCGGATTATGGCAACACTATCAATGCCTAAACAGAGCCTGCGGTGGTCAGATGGTACAGCGGTCACGTGGTACAAGTCGTATGCTGCGTTCAAGTCCTCCTGGGACGTTCGTACTTACGAGTTGACAAGTCGTAATTATGACGTCAGGTGCGTTCAAGTCAGTTTAGTCGGCACAAGATGGCGGTATACCTTCTTTTAATAAATTACAAGAAAATACAACAGGGCAACTCTGCTTATCGAAAATGAAGAGCAAAGAATTCGCATCCAGGTGTGTTTTGCGTTTTTAATATTTTTTTTAGACCAGGATCCCAGTATAACTGAATTTTAGCATCAACAAATGCTAAAATACAGAGATTAAAAAAAGCTGTTAGCTAAATGCAACATGGCAAATCAAAAGATTTTTCACCTTGTGCAAAAATGATAGCATTTTTTTTTACTTGGATTTCATTAACTAGCTGCGTAACAAGAACATGACCAATTTAAGTTTATAGGACAACTAAACTATCAATTTAAACAAAAATTGACTGTCAACTACAGACGTTGCATCCATCGATTCCGCCATGTTTGTCATTGACACGCCCCCAACTCGAAAACTCGGGGCTTAAAGAAAATTTCGAGTTTCCCACTCATAATAACGAGTCGACGTTGTGGTGGCGTTCATGTGCGTTCAACTCCTAAATAAGATCTATCCGACATGACTTGAACGCACCAGTAGCTCTCAGAAAACTCCCAGTTCACAAATTGTAATTACGAGTTCTACGAGGACCTGAACGCTTTTTACAAGTTGGAATCTCATAATTACGGGAATTCCGTTATGGCGTGAACGCACCTTTAATCGCGATTAATCGCTTTCAAAATAAAAGTGTTTGTTTACATAACATGTGTGTGTGTGTGTGTGTGTGTACTGTCTATATTTATTATGTATATATAAATAGGTACACACATATACAGTATGTATATTTGAAAATATTTACATGTCTATATATTTATATTCATATAATTTATATTATATATAAATATATTAAATATAGAAACAACATATTTTTCTGAAATATATGCATGTGTGTGTATTTATATATAGCCTACATTATAAATATACACAATACATACACATATTATGTAAACAAAAACGTTTATTTTGGATGCGATTGTGATTAATCATTTGACAGCACTAACTTGGCAATTATTTGTGTGAAAATTGTTTCATGTAAATCCTACATCATTTTTGTCAGTGAAATATGAAACAGCTGAATTCCCTGGGTGACCAATCTGAAATAGTGTCAATTAAAAAATGAGAAATTCTGTCATCATTTACTTTTCAAACCCAGACTTTCATTAATCTTCGAAACACAACTGGATATATATTTTTATAAATCCATAAATACATTGTAAAAGTTAAAATAAATAAATAATGTTTTGTTTTTGTGTCACACAAACATTTCACCTTCTGCAAAAACCATGGCTGTTCTCACGTGTCAGCAAATATCTTCATTTGTTTTTCAGAAATGAATGAAAGTCTTATGGGCTTGGAATGACAAGAGGAAACTGATGACAGCTTTTTTTATTTTTTTTTAAGCATTTTAGACTAACACTTATTCCAAAGGTTACTATGTTTTAAATAGGTCACTATAGCAAACATTGGCTATTTGCTACTAGCTTTGCGTCTAACCATAACAGTGACAAGTATTTATTTGAATTGTTAACAAATTGCACATTTTTTCATAAATTTCTAGAGATCTGGGATTTGTAACTATTTAAACAACTAGTATAATTTTCAGATTTCTTATACTGAATAACCAGTTGGGTCTACCGTTTTTAATACTTTTCCTCATGAAATTGCAATTTGTTTCCAGTTGAATAGTTGCACGTCAAAACTGGGATAGTGAGTAGTAAGAAAATAATAAAAATATTAAATGAAAAAGTACTAGTTTGAATGAGTTGATATAGGTGTAATAAGTATTCATATATAACGAATAAAAGTATGTAATGTCTACTTGTCAAGTTTGTGAATATGCAGTAAACTGGTCTAAGTGTTGATTTTTGTATGAAAAGAAAGAAATTAAATGATAACAGTAGCCACAACAGTAAAACAATTTCCATAATTAACACATTTATTAGATATTTACAAAATAGTTTATTGACAAATTAAGTTAGCTTTTCACATGGTAACTCAAAACTTAGTTACATTTTTCAGCCAGTCATATGATTTCTTCATTCCCTAGGAGGCATAAGTAAACCAAGGATTTCTCTATGACCAACATCAAATGTTATATCATAAGAAATACGCTTACAATTTGTGTAGTGATACAGTTTGAGATTCATGATTGCCTGAACACTGAATAAACTTAAGTTAAAAGAATTTTCAGCATGGAATTACACATACTCCCTCAGATCACATACATTAGACAAGTTTGTCAGGAGATTGAGGTCATTAATGAGGAGTATTAGCAAGGAAAATTAACATCTAATTATCTAAAATTAGATGATTTATAAAGACACAATCTAGCTCTAAAAAAAGCTTATAATTCAACTTTAATGGCGCTTCAGCATTTATAATTTAGAACATGCTTCCTGAAAACTGGGCAACAAACATGTACAGTTTGGGACAGACAGAATACATTTATGAAAGGAGAGAAAGGTTTCATACAATTTAACATATATATATAGCGCAATGAAATGAACGCGCTGACATACGATCCAAGCGTTATGCTGGTTTACAAGAACAAAACCTGATAGAAAGGCAATTCGACTACATTAGATGGAGCGATCCATCCAAGAACAAGGAAATGACACACCTGTTCAGAAATCGCTTACATGCTTTGCACTGGCTCAGTTAAAATACAATGTACCGACACATGCATTCAGTCTGCTGTGGCATAGGTAAAGCAATACCCCCGCAAAGAAGAAAAAGAAAACACCTCAAATATACTGTTAAGGATTAATGCATACAGTGACATCTGGATTTAGCATTAGCAACAATACAGAGATAAAGCCTTGTCTCTATCAGTAAAAGGCACCCCGTAACACTTGGAAGTTACTTTCGTGGCTCAGAGAGATGTTGGGGTGCCATTGTGCATAATCCAGACATCCAAAGACAAAATGGCACCCCACTGCATAAGGCAATTCTAAGGACTGAGCAGAGGAAGTAAAGCATGAATCAACAGACAGAAGGAACAGATGTAGAGGCAGTGTGCGCAATGTGCTGTTACAGATCTTACCAGCAGCTAGAAGACACTATAATGTCAGCACAGGTCTGTTGTTAAGCATGTAGTAGGTTCAGTACACTCACAATAGGTGATTATTTTTGACACAATCCTCTAAAAGAAATTGCATTATGATAATATTCCTCATATTACCTCCTTTTAGGAGTTTTGGTCTTGCTTGCATTCATGATGATCAACACAATGTCTCAGTGCCGTAAAAATAAAGGATTAAATGAACGTTTTAGTTCATATTTACAGTGTTGAGGCAAAATGAGAAAATGAAATTGGTACAAATGTAATTGCTGTCATGCTGTGTGGCTCAAAGGGAGGGAAAGGCAATACATTTTCTCTTAGAAGTGCTTGTGTTTCTGATCTTACATATTTAAACAGATTATAGTGACTTGGAATTTCTGATTCCAGCTTTAGGAGCATTTAGGAGATGTTTAACATACATCTGGTTCTGAACAACAACCAGGAGCGTTCACAGTCAGACCCAGCTGTCCAGTATTAATACAGAGAGTTAAAAGGTGTTTAGGCATATAGTTAGAGATTCTCATGTTGATACATGAGAGAAAAAAAGGCAAAATATTTTCAGTAATAGATTGTTTAAGCTGAAAATGTTTAAAAGGATGAAGGCATTTGTGAGGAGGTTTGACTAAATATATGTCTTGGTTAGCTGTCTCAAATTAAATGTAAGACATCACTGCATAATGGCATGAATATGACAAGAGATGGTTTGTGCAAATTAAATAAAAACAAAACAACAAAACATTACACACTACAGTGTATATACACAGGGTAAACTGTTAACACATTCAGATCAGAGAAATCTCAGCATTTGGGACTGCACAACCAAATATAAATCATTATCAGGGTAAGAAAGGACTTACTGTACTGTATGTAGTGAACTATGAGAATTCTCCATCTGAAGAAGATACTGTTTTCCAGTCAATATAGACAATTTGGTCCCAACACAATCAGTGTCAGCTCAGGTGCATATGTTCTCTGTTCATTACACAGACCAGTTAAAAGGAGGTAAAGATATCTTAGAAACAGCTACTCAGGTCAACAATCCACTAATCATACAAGGCCCAATGTAGATAAAACAAGTCTACCAGACAACATTTAGCTAATTCTGTAAAAGTGTTCAAATATAAGCTTTATCTAATTGAAAAGTACTGAAATTCAATTGGTATTTGATGTATTATTGTAAAAAAAAAAAAAAAAAAAAAAAAAAAGTCAGAATTATGAATTTGGACTCGCGCTTTAGTGTCCAAAATGACTTTACGTTTAATAATACAACGTAGCATTTTTAAATGTAATACAGATATTATAAATGCTTGTATGTGACTAGAACCGGGAGAGCAAAGTCTCACATAAATCTACTGCTCATCTATGCGTAAATATAAATCTGATTTGTGGTTCAAAGCATGATTTGTTCAGAGGGGATTGGGGAAGGCTGTTTTTATACAGCAGGCCTAATACACATAATACTCACCTCCAAACCCTTTTCATATGTTACAATTGTTTTCATAAAGCTCACAAACAGGGAGAAGAGGGAGTACACAAGCATTAGTGTCCTAAATCATCTTCCAATCAAATCATCAATACACGGCAAAGGCAAAGCTGTGCTGGGATTATGGCAACGGTGACAAGGAACAGTTAGCATGAGGTGCAGCTTATCACCATTGAAACGGTGCACTTTTGCATCACAACCTCTTGATCACCTGCTCCTGTCATGAGCATAGAAGGGCCAGCATGTAGATGATTTGAAGGGAAATGGAAACTCATCACATTATTAAATGGCTTTTCCTTATTAGGGGATGTGGCTTTCCTGAAATCTTACAGCAGCTTCTGGTTTAAAGGTTGGGGTTTCCTCAGTGTCTCAGGAGTCTTCAGTCATCTTCAGTAGCTCTAGGAAGGCACCAACAGCTCCAAAATAACCCTGCAGTAAAAAAGCAGAGCATTTCATTATATTTAAATAAATATATTTAAATGATAAATATAATTTCATGTAGAGGCCTAATGAGAAATATGTGACTGATATTATGCTCTACTGTTCAAATGTTTTGTAAAAAAATGTTTTTTTATTAAATTACTTAATTTCACACACACACACACACACACACGTGTATGTGCGTATGCGTGTGTGTATATATATATTTATATAGAAAGCAGTCATTTTAAACTGTAATAATATTTTACAATATTACCTTTTTTTTCTGTATTTTTGATCTAATAAATGCAGCCTTGGTGAGCATAAAAGAAAACTTAAAACATTCAAAAAAATCTTGCCAACCCCAAACCTTTGAATGAATATAAAATCTCTTAAGAGATGTACACAACTTTTTAAAATCTTTAATCTTCATTTTTTAATCTTAAATAATTTTAATTTACATAAGACTTTCTAATTAATATTTTCTGATAAATAAGTCGACAACATTGACAACAGAAATCAACATTATCCATTGACAGGTCTGAGGGTAGATTTTGGAACTGACACAAGGGGGAGCTAAAAATCCTGTTAATCTGCAAAGTGGTCATACAGTCGCTGACCATCACAGGTTAGGAAAAACATGTATAAGCAGTACTTGCACCTTGTTTACTTTTAACAATATTTAAACATTTATCATTTATTATAGAACCATAAATAACTCACATTTAGAGCAGGAGGCTAATTCATCTGTTGTATTTTTTTTTTTTAAATAAATCATCATGCAACATGTGCTCATTTTCATCTTTCTCCCTAATATTTAGATCCTCACATTCATCTTTAGAAACACCTCGTATAATAACACACCACACTCTTTTCTGGTACCATTGATATTTTTGTACGAAAGTTAACTGAAAGCCACACAAATAAAAATTTTATTTCATTGGCTGTTTAAAAGCACCTAATTGTAATTTCTTTAATATTTCCACCATTTAGAAAAACATGTATTAAAACATTAATGACATGGGTGTGTTTATTGGCTGATTCCAATAATTTTAAAATATACTTAACATATACTTGCTTGGCTGATACATTGATTGACCACTATAAAGAAGGTTATGGTGTAAGTCCAAGATGGACAAACATAATTAATGCAACTGATTCCAGCACTGGCAAGGAATTACAAGTGATAAAAAAAGGAAAAAGGCTTACTTCATGTTCTAAGAAAAGGGCTTTCAGTTGTCCGTTAGACCAGAAGTCCATGGCATAGGCTAGCAGCTTAGTTGACACTGTGTTGATCCGAAGGAAATTCCCAACAAAAACCACTCTATCAATATTCTGAAGAAAATAAAAAAAACAGACAATCAGAATAAACAGTAATATTTTAATTCTGAAGAAGAGAAAAGAGGAAATATCTACATTCCACTTGTTCTTGACTTTTACACCAGAGTATTTTAGGAAAAGAAAAAAACATTTATCCATCTTGTGGCTGTTCAGTGTGCTGTGATAGCCCTGTACAATGCTGCTTGATCTCCATGCCACAAGGCAACACTGTAAAGAAGCTCAGAGCACACTGAGTTCAAGGTCATCTTTAGCACCACAGACTTGGTCTTTATATTGTTTATTTCACAGGGTAATGGCAACTGAATTTATCTTATGCATTCTAAACAAAAATCAATTATTCTGAACGGAAATATGTTCTAAGTTCTTAAACAGAACAGATGAGCTTTTGCATTAAGAGAAAATGTTTTCAAACCTCGTTCACTGCACACATGCGGGCGATGGAACCAGTGTTGTTTGTGATGGTGACAAGAGTGGCCCTGGCCAGGTCCTCTTTACTTATACTGTCACGTTTCTCCTTGCTCATCATATGACCAAAACTAACAAATTAAAGGAAAAAAAAAAAAAAGATTGTCTTTAATTACATAATTTTTACATAGAAAATTATGGCAAATCTGTCTATACCTGGATGCAACGGCAGAACCCTGGAGACCGAAGCGTTCGTAATCGCCTCCATAGATGTCCTTCACTAGTTTGTCCACATTTGTGCTGTCCCCTTTAGCTGCCATCTCTAAGGCCTCCTCAAATGTCTCGCAGCCAGTCAGCAAACAACACAGGCCTAGAAACGTACCACCTCCTAAACTGAATCACAACCAATGAAGCATATAAATGGCGGTGTATTTAAAAAATGTTGCATTACTTTAGGTAGATTACAGATCTTGTTTCTACAACACATTTAACAATTTTCATTACAAAATTATAAAAAATTACTCATTTTTACTTTACAATTACAGTACTATAGCACTTTAGTGGTTCAAACATAAAATTTCAAGTTAGTTTTGTCAGTTACACTTTGGTAAGGACATCACACATGACCTAAAACAAAAAATAGACAATGTGGCCACAAACCAAGAATTTCTTCCTATGACTTAATTCATGGCCACATTTTATTAATGATTTCCTTAGTTTAAGTTAAAATGCGGCCACATTGTATAAATTGGTTCACTCATTGTAATTTAGTTTTAAAAAATAAGGCCACATTTGAATAAAAAGGGGAACAATTTAGTATGCCATTTAACTAAAATGACAAAAGTCTTGGCAACAAATTTTTAATTCATGGCCATGATATCTTGTTTTTTTCCCCCCTGCATGTCATGTGCAGGACTCCGTACTTTGCCAATTCTCTTCTGCGTGAATAAATCATCAATTTTGAGCTATATCTGTGGTTCTTTGATAACATATCTGATAAATGTGTAATCTGGATAGTTAGAAGCATATCTGCCACAGTAGTAGCCAGATCTTCTTATCTTTACTTATGTAAGTGATGTATACAAGCAAGGATGAAAGGCATAAACCTGAAATCAACCTGTTTGCTTAACTACAAGAAAAAACATGATGCCGGAATTCACCTGGTGCCTGTGACTCGCTTGTAATCATCCTTGGAATAGACAGCAAGGATGCTAACCCCCGAGCCAATGTTTACCAGCAACATAGGGAAGGGGTTCTCCAGGCTAAATGGCCTCTTGACACAGTTTTCAGGGTCGGAGGGATTTTGGAAAAAATAACACTCGGGATGGCCATTGAACCCAACTGAGTCAACGTACAGCAGACCTTGAATAAGACAGTCCAGTTCATCCAGCTTCTGCAGCTCCAAACCAGCCACCTGCGGGAAGAAGCAAATACACAATCATAAATGTGATAGGCATAGCTAATGTTAGCCATTCATTGTCCTGATAACAGTAACAGGATAAGTGGCAGTAAAAGACATTACAGTATGTCAACAAAACACTAGCCTGCTACAGATCAACATATTTTTTTACATTCAATCAAACTGAATAAATTGCATTATTATGTCGCCATTAACATACCGTTCTGAAGTCATCCTCAAACTTGTATGCGCCCCCACCCGTGGCACACAGTGTGGTGTGCAGACTGGAGAAGTTCTTGTCTCTGCCCATTTGGATGAAGCGGTGCATGTCTTGTGTGGGGAAACGAATGAAGTGCAGGTTGCCTTTCCGGCCACACATGGTGAGGTTCTTCAACTCCAGGTGAACATCTCGGATACCCGTGTTTCCATAGGCCACGTTGGAGGTCAGATATCGGCGAATGCTCTTCAGGCTCTCCACTTCCTCTTGTTCTTCTTCAGCAGTTATGTCCTTGGGCTCAAAGTAAACCAGCTTTACCAGGGTGCCTCCGATATCCATTCCAAACCATGGAAAAGCTGGAAAAAAATCTCAAGTTTTAGAAAGGGAGATTTTGATATTCTTTCTTGACAAGCATTACCTGCATCTTTCTGTGTGGTACTGATGAATGTGAGAGAAATAGGTGTGGAAAAAATTATAATGTACTATGTAATAATTAGATATTTAAAATCTAATACTTAAATGACTTTTTTGGTGTATTTTAATGAATAAAGAATGAATATGACTGCATTGGGAGTGGGGGGAAAGAGTATTTTTATCTATTCACACTGCAGCTTGTGGGCTCTTTTGTTGCCATGGTAACAGTGGTTTCAAAGAGATTGCCTGGCGATTCTGAGAAACATCCTGTCTTCAAAATAAAAGTTACACATCAGGTTCACAAAATCTGTTTAAAGTACAATATAATCTCTAGGTAAAAACCATTTAGATCTTACTGATACAACCTCAGTATTTTCTATAGTAGTGAATCAGTGAAATATCTTTGCAGCATTTGGGAGAAAACAGTTTCGTATGTCATTGATTAGTTAAGGGAGTCTGAGTTTAGATCAGTGATGATAATATAGCTGGCAGACGTACATGTAGGCGAAAGGTGTGTGTACTTCTTGTCTCAGAGTGCAAAGTACTCCAAAGCCACCAGGAACCCAGTGACTTCACAGCAGTTAATGGACAAAAAGTGAAGTTACAGCAGTTTACAGCCAACAACCCAAAATGTAGTTAAAGCAATGGAATATATATTTAAGATAGATTTATATTAATATTCAAAAACAATATTTAAAATCAATAATGAATAACTATAAATACTTTATCGGATCCTAGAGAGTGCAATTGCTGTTACTTCAACTACTTGACTGTCAGTAGACTGTAAAAAGATGCTGAATAATTAATACCAACAAAACGGAATCACTGAGTTTTTATGTCGTGTCTTTTATTGATTAAATAATATTACCCAGGACCTTACCTGATTTCTTCACAATTAATTTCATACTTTGCAGTTGAGACAGAAAGGATAATGAAGACAGCAATATGAAGCACACAGTGATCTAATCAATATATGTATATATCATTCAAATGCTGCTGGCAGAAGAATAAACGTCCTCATGTCACTTGGCAGGTGTACATAGCACATTTTATGTTAATTACACAAGTACTGTAAAGTCTGCAAGTTCAATTTCCCCACCCCTTTATGTGATCCTTTGGTCTCATTGGATGAAATCGCATGTCCGTCATATCTGGCGTGTTTTGGTCACACCCTCACATTCTGATCTGGCCAATGAAATCCGCACAGCGAACATCACATTGATTTCACAACACTAAATAACCCGGTCTTTCAAAACAAATAAACCTCTTAATACAGGCAAGTCTGAAATGTGTTTACAGTTCCAGCGTTTCCTCTTTTAAATAGGCCTCTTATTTCTTTTTTTAATTGTGAACAATAGTCAAATAAAACACACAAAACAAACAAACAAACAAAAAAAGGTTCACTTCCGGGACTTAAGGACACTAAAAATCGAATCTTTCATGTTCTTGGTACAAATATGAATACGAACGAAATGCGAAAAATTCGCTATAAACACATTTGCTATAAACACTGACCAAAAAGTTAAATGGAAATTGTAACGTGATAACCGTTATTTATAATGACTGTGATGTGTAAGATCATGTCTTTCGAGATTTTATTGTACAAAGGAAAAATAAATAAATAAAAACAAAATGTTTAATGTGCTGAAATCGTTTCTGCTGCTTAAATTATGGATCTTTTTAAATGAACCTTACCTCTAAAATAGCTATTTACAGTATGTTGTGATAATTGTCACTGTTCAGTTTAAGTTACAACTGAATACATTAATTAATTACTGAAAACTGGACTTACGCGGTCTGTTCTTCTTTCCCGAATCCACGCGTCTTCGGAGTCTGCAGCGCTTTGCAGGCGAACCATTGTTGTGTACATGCTGATGAAGATGGTGGAAATCTTCAACACCATTATGGCCACCGCTACTATCACTAGCACCCAGACCACCTCCGTTAGATGAAATACACTCCCCGTTATCGGTTTGTAGGGTGTGAAATCCGTTTACTAAACCGTTCGTGTAGTGCGTCGTTCCGTTTTGATCGGATGTTTCAGCATTTTCCATTATTTTACGCAGCAAATATGATCGCTCGGAAGACGGACAGATGCGTAACGATTCGACGTTTCGAAGGCGCTTCAAAATTTGCAATAGTTTTATCAGAGTTCTACATGAATGCTGAAGTGTTATAAAGAGATAAAGACAATAGACAGGTCTTCAACATCTTATCTGAGGTCACTATCGGTCATTTCTTCTTTACACTGCATGGCTGTTTCCGAGTCAAACAGCCGGCCCGGTATATGCGACGTCACTGAGGAAAATGCCTCCACTCCCTCTCGCTGAAACGTCATGTTTTAGAGCCGCCTACTTACATATGTGACCCAGGAACACAAAACCAGTCATAAGGGTCAATTTTTTGCAATTGAGATCTATACATCATCTGAAAGCTGAATAAATAAGCTTTCCATTGATGTATGGTTTGTTAGGATAAGGGCAATATTTGGCTGAGATACAACTAAAATAAAAACCTGGAATCTGAGAGTGCAAAAAAAAATCAAAATATTGAGAAAATCGCCTTTAAAGTTGTCCAAATGAAGTTCTTAGCAATGCATAATTAGCCTACTAATCCAAAATTAAGTTTTGATATATTTACGATAGGAAATTTACAAAATATCTTCATGGAGCATGATCTTACTTAATATCCTAATGATTTTTGGCATAAAAGAAAAATGTATAATTTTGACCCATACAATGTATTGTTGGCTATTTCTACAAATATACCCGTGTGACTTATGACTGGTTTTGTGGTCACATATGGCATACTAGGCTACTTACTATTACTGTTTCCTACAGGTATTTAAATGCTGGCAAAGTTTTCGTGTTACCTAAGTTTATTTATTTAGGCCATCATGGTAAGAAAGTCTTGTTCAAATGCCACTTTAAACTGAATATTGTTTTATTTGCACCACTCACGTGGACTTTGGCATAATACCCGTTTGACAAAGAAGAGTGTAGCTATTCATAAGTAATGAATGAATATGAATGAAAGTAATGTCTGTGTTGTTAAACCAGTTATTAAATAAAACTGTAGGGACAATATAACATAATAGCATGGGTAAGAGGAAAAAACAATCATATAACACTGGCAGACAATGTACACCATTCTAATCAATATGTGAAAAATTGTTTGCCCTATTCAGTTTTTGAATTGATTTTATATTTAGAGCAAGATTCGTTGTCTTCTACAGCAATGTGACGACTGTTAGCCTATTTCTAATGTGTGGGTGTAAAAATTGTTCAAGAGCTAACAAAAGCAAGTTTTACATGGACATCAACGTTCTTCACAAACTAAACTGTTTACTTATTATTTTATTATTCTCCACAATTCTAACATAAGAAAAACAAGTTTATGATCAACAGAAGCATGCAAACAATGATGTGTCATTTCAGCTGGCTTCTACCTACCTTTTAGGTATTCTCAACTATTGTCTCAAAATAGTTGTAAGTAATGCTACTTTATGTCATTTTGAATTTGTTCATTCACTAAATGCAAAATGCCTCATTCAGCTAATAAAGTCAAGGCATTACAGATTTCTTGTTCAACAAATTAGTTGTTCTGCAAATTAACATAATAAATTGAGCTATTATTTTGATAATTGGCTATATAGTTTTATAGGCTATTTCACTTGTGAAGTATGCTATCTTTGTTTCTGTTGAGCCTGATAAAGCAAAGATATTCATAATTACTATGAAAAAGCACTAACACCTGACAACTCTGACAATCAACAAATGTAAAAAGATGAGCTCTTTAAATCACAACACAAGAAATATCTAACAATAATGATAAAAAACATGTTTATGTTAACAACAAAAGGTTAAAAAACTATCAGCAAACAGTGAAACAATAATCATATAATAGTGACCACATAAGTTATTCATGCTGAAATGTATGCAGGGACCTCAATTTTGTTCAGTGTGAAATTCTTTGTTCAGACAACTATGTTTGACAAGTTGGGATGACATTTGGGGGAATTCTGTTGGTCTAACATGTTTTTTTTAATGTAATTTCAAGTAATTCCCATTTCTTAGTATTTAGTACTTCAGTATTCAGTGCAGATGCAGATGTATACCGAATGGACCTGTCCTCTAAATGAAATCTTGGGTTGCTACTTCCAGTATATGTATATTCTGCAGTTAATTAGAGTAAATATGCGTACTGAGGATGCAAAAACCTGAGAGAAGAACAAGTGAACTTTATATTCACCCAAAGCCTTCAAATAAATTTTAAATGGTATAAGATTCTGTTTGTTCTGTCCTGTTAAAAATAATGTAAACACGTCTTTAACCCTATGAAGCCTACTGTCTCATATTTGATACACAATATTTTAAGGCCTCTAAATGATTAACATCATCAAAACCTTTCTGAAAAACCTGCTGAACACAATCTTCTACATGCCTTCTGTCAGTTCTTGCCTTCTGATAGTTTATACTTTTTTTTTTTAGAAAGTAAAAGGCCTTTTAGTGTAATTCTAATAATTTATTTTAAGTAAATATAAGAGTAACTTTTATATTGTTAGTTATATTTCAAGATGTACATTTTCTGGACTGATACTGAAGAAACTTCTACAAATCCATGACTTAGTAATTCGTCCTTACGATCAAACTGAAAGAAACATAGGTGGATATTTACATACAAAATGATTTTACATACACTAAAAAAATTTAAGCCAGCACAACAAAAAAAATCTTAGTACTAATTTCCCCTAGCTTTTTCTTGTTCACTCAACTTTTGTAAAAAAGCAGTTATACTGACTGAAAAGAAGCTGTCAGTCATACAAAAAATGTTTAGTTGAGTTAACTCAAGATTGTTCGTTTTCTAGAGATGTGCAACGACTCTATAACAAACCTTTTTAAGTTGTGCCAACTCAGCATTTTTTGTCTGTAGAACTCAAATACCTGAAGTTGACTGAACAAAAAAATGCTACTGGAAATTGGTACTAAGAAATAATATGTTACAACTGAAAACTGCAATAACAGTGTCCAAGTCAAAAACTGAAAACACTGACACAATATTAATAAAACATTTATTCAAAAGAGCAATTTTTTAAGACAATGTTTTCAAACATTTGCCTGTTTAAGGCAATTAAACAGGCAAGTATACCCATCATTACAATAAATTTATCTTAAAGTCAGAGCTGTAACCACCATAGACATTGAGGAGGACAAGTCTAAACTGCCAAAAAATTAATGGCCTAATGGTTAGAGAGTCGGACTTATAACCCAAAGGTCAGAGGTTCGAGTTTCAGTACTGGCAGGGATTGTAGGTGGGGGAGTGAATAACCAGTGCTCTCTTCCAATACCCTTGAGCAAGGCACCCCCCCCGCAAAAAATGGCTGCTCACTGGATTACAAAAAGATTTAAAAGTTACATTTTTAGGCTGGTCTGCCTCAGCAGTTTACCAGCAATGTCAAAATGATTGAGATGGCCAATCAAAGCAAAATAAAAATAAAATTTGACCTAGGCCTATCCCCCCAATGTTCAAGACATGGTTACAGCCTTGCTTAAATGGATAGTTCACCCAAAAGTGATAATTCCCTCATTTATTCCCTTATGTCTCAAACTCATATTTATCTTAAAAGTTTTGAAACCCTTTTACTTTTCATTTTATGGATGTAAACATATCAGTCTATGAAAATATCTTTGTGTTCTAAAGAAGAAAGGCAGTTATATGAGTTTGAGATAGAACAGAGTAAATGATGATACATTTTCATTTTTGGGTAAACGCTCTCTTTAAATATTGCTCACATGAAACAAAATTTCATATATTGCACTAACCTGCCAAAACCTGCATCAATACATAGATAGAACTGCTATCATCATAATATAAAAATCCTGTAATTCCATGCTTTTTAAATTCACAAATATTTAAGCCAAAGTGATTCAACACTGCAACAGTGAAATTAAACACTGCAGTTAAAACAGTTTTACAAAACTATGCCACTAAATATGAAACATGACTAAACAGTAGCATGTACATGAGGAACACAAACTTTCAAAATATGAAGGATGGTCTATAAAATAGAAGTGCACCTATCTGCAAAACACTCAAATGTGTATTTTAGTCCTTTTGGAAAGTCAATAATCAGCACATAGAGAAGTCCAAAGAGTACCATTAAAGCAGTGGGAAAGTCAGATGGCCCTCCATTACCACAGTTTCCTCCAGGATGATGCAGAAGTTTAGTCATCTCTTAGTTCTCTGTGAGAGGTCATCCTCCATGACTTCAAGGATGCCCCATTTCACTCCTCTTTATCAGTGTCCTAAGAAAGAATTATGTAAATGTATTGAAAACTGGTTGAGCAAGAGTGTAGATATAAAAATCAAAGCTCAAATACACTATTTCTAACAAAACATGGTGCATTATGTGCTAACCTGATGTAAACACTTGATGAAAACAACCCACATGAAAGGAACACAAATGTGAATGATCAGGTTAATAAAATGCAAATTAATGTAGACTTTAAAACGTTAGGCATCATACACTGGCCATTACTAAACAACTGAGGATCACAAACTACAAGAAGTTCTGATCAGCAGAAACATGCGCCTTGTTGCTAGGAAAATCCATCGCAACAAAAACTTAATTATTTCATGTAACAGGATTAAAATACAGCTAGATTTAAACATCCAGTAATGTTTGATAACTTACAAAGAAAATGTAGTGGTGTTTTTTTTTTCTAAATAACCAATATCAACTAAGTTAACTGGGGAAAGTGTGACTTTAAGAAAAAACAACGATAATCAAAAACTAAAAAAAGCACACTTACCATTCCTCTGGATTATTGCCATGTGCTCTTCTTTCATAAACACTCTTCTTCGGCCGCTTGCTGAACACTTGTTTCTCCCGCGTTGAAAAGTTCAAAGCCATTTTTTTATTTTTTTTTTATTAATGTTCAAAAATCAAGAATAGTGGAGAAACATTCATTTTCCAAAAAAAAGTATGACATGATGCTACAAAAGAGGAAGATCTAATATTTATATAAATTGCCTTGTGATCTGTTAAGGGAGTAGCTAGAATGTTTACTGACATATTCTCTTTTAAAAGGCTCCCCGAAACCAGAAAGAAATCTATAAGTTCAAAGCCTTGAAAAGTAAACGTTGACATACTATACGTAACCGGCACGTACTGAGGGCGTGGTTTAGCGCGCGAGAGAAAATAATGCCGTCGTCATCAGAAAACGTGCTGATAATATTTTTTAAATGTATGGTTTATTTAAAAATAACAATTCAATAGAACAGTC